ATCTAGTCAGATATATTTGAATTTATAAATTATAAAACGGAAATAATTCATCATCGTTACAACGTAATAACTTTTTATTTTAATAAGTAAATATTGAATACTATATTATATAAGTTGAAATATAAGAAGGTTGTACATTTTCTATAAAAATTTCAGACCTATATCATCAAAATTGAGCAAATTATAAGTGATTAAATTTCGAACAGAAATAATTTATCATGTTCAAAAATAACCATTCATAATTTGCTCAATTTTGATGATATAGGTTCGAAATTTCTACAAGAGATGTACAACCTTCTTGTCTTTCTACTTATTTAACGCAGTATTTGACATTTACTTATTAAAATAAAAAGTTATTATGTCGTAACGATGATAAATTATTTCCGTTTTGTAATTTATAAATTCTGATATATGTATGTGGATAAATTCATATGCAAATATATGCGGATATATGCGGATATATCCGGATAAATTCGCGTGAATATATCCAGATAAATTTGCATATCAGATAAATCCATATAAATTCACAATATGTCTGGATATATGTGGATATTTAATGCGGATAAATGCGCAAGTGGTCAAATATATTTGAATTAATTTAAAGCAAATATATCTGAATATATTTGCTATTAAAAATTTCCTGATGAATGAAAAAGATTTTGTTGCAGATTTGGATCCTAATTCAATTCCAGAATATCATCTACCTATGAAGACAAAGATATAATTACTTTGAAGCTGATGAAGAGAATTATTTAATTCTTTATAGATTTATAAAGTAAGATGAATGATTATATATTTTTATCTTTTTTTTTTATTAACGAATTATTTGTGATTTTTATTAATTAATTATTATATTATTATTATTATTATTTATTATTATATTAAGTAAATAGATTAATAGAAATTATTATATTATTATTTTACTATTAAAATGAAAAATCTAATTTATTAAAAAGAATTGATAATTCCTATTTAGCATTCAAGTCAATTGCAGAGTAAGTAATATTTTCTGTTTCATTATCATCAATTTCTTCAAATTCATCTATACCTTTTTTTTCCTCTTCTACCATATTTATCTATTCTTGAAGATAATTTTCAAAATCATTTTCTAAACTACTTTCTTTCATATTGATAAATTACATTTCCTCATCAATATCTTCAGAAATAAATGAATCTTGACTTTCATATAATGGATTTTCTTCTTCATCTTGTTTATCGGTTTGTTCATTTTTGTTATTTTCATCAGTTAGTATTTGTTCTGTTTCATAACATCATAATAATTCAACCTCAGATATTATAGTTTGTACAGTTATTTTTGGAACTTTTTTTTGAAGCTGATGACTATAAATTATATTAGCTCGTAATTTACTTATCTCAAGGACTTTGGTATTCTATATTATAATTAAATTAATTATAATATTAAATAAAAAAATTTAATAGAAATTTTTTTTTTATTTAATCTGATTATATAATTGTATTTTTTTTATTGTTTAAATTTTTTTATTAAATAATTAATTAAACTTTGTTTTTTTTTATAATTATTATGTATTTAAATAATTAATTAAACTTTTTTATTTTTTTTCATAATTATTATATATTAATTATTTAAACATTTGTAATTATTATATATACAGTATATAATTAAATAAATATTTTGTTTTTGTTTTTTTTATAATTATTGAATAATTATTATGTAATTAATTAAACTTTTTATATAATCATTATATTATTATATAATTAAATAAACTTTTTTCTATAATTATTATATAATTATTATATAATCAATTAAATACTTACTGATAATCTATTATGTTTATATAATTACAAAAAATCCATGCAACTCCATAATTATTCTATGGAAGTACAGATTCCAAAAATTCTACAAGCCACAAATTCAAGTTCATTAGTAAAAACACAGACAAAACTCCAATATCTATAAATATCTTCACTAAATTAATTCTATGTAGCTAAATCAAATGGATAGATTTTTAAATAAAAGTTTTCTAATTTTCAAAAAATAAATTTTAAATATTGTCCTGTTCAAGTATAATAATAGTATTCTAACTAAGGACCAATTGTTATATATTTATACTAATATTATTAAATATTTTTATATAATAATTAGAATATAATAAATATACAATAATTAAAATTGGTTGTTCCCATTCTTTTCACCATTTTTCTAATCATGTAACTAATCGACTACTTAAATCTGAATTAGAATTTGTATTTCATAATTGAGCAATGTAATTAAAATTATAAATTACTTCATATAAACATGTTTTGTCACTTTGTAGTATATCTAAAATCTTACAATATGAATATAAAATATCAATTAAAAGTTTAAGATTTTTTCAAAAAAATGCAGAACCAATTATTTCATAAATATCTCCTTTTAAAATTGATTTATCTCCTGCACATTTTCTAGTTTTTACAACTGGTAGTTCAAATTTGATTGCTAAAATCTAAGTAAAAATTATATATATATATTTTTTTAATATTTTTTTTAATAATTAAATATAATTAAATATAATTAAATTTACTTGTAATACTTTTTGTGTCTTTAAAATACTCGTACAAACATAATAATAACTGTTCTACTGAGTTTTTTCAAATGTAACAATTGTAAAATATTTATTATATTCTTTATATTGTTGATCTTTTAATTTTGAAATAAAAAATTTATTATTCGAATTTCTAAAAAAGATGCAAGCCATATTGCCTTATTTATTAATTCTTGTATAAACTTTAGTTCTCTTATTATTTAATTCTATAAACATTTCTTTAGTTTTTTCCATTACTTCTACTGTATATGACTTTCTCTTTCAGAACTAATATTTGTTACTTTTCATATATAAGGACAGTCTTTAGGTCTAAGAATTACTACACCTAACAAATGCTCATTTTTAACATTTGTTCATCATCAAATGTAAGTGTAACTCCAATTGGATCTTCTTGAAGAACTTTTATCATTGTATTATTAGATTCTTTAACTGTATCACTTAAAATATTACTTCCAAATAAATAACAATTAGAAAGTTTTAAATGTAAATTTAAAAATTGAAAAAGTTCTATTGCTTCAGGTTTATTAACCCAATGTAAAGCTCAACTACAAGAAAGTGATAATTTAAGAAGGTATGAAATTTTTTCAAATCTGATAATAACAATGAACGTATGATATAATTATCTATTGTTCCGTAAGAAGATGATCTAACAATTACTTTAGAACTTTGTGATACAGTTGATGTCATTTCGCAAGAAAATGATTCTTTGAAAATATATAAATATTTTAAATACAAATATTTTAATAAAATATAGACAGACTTTTAAATATGACCTTTTCTTTTACCAATTTGTAAATTTGTAGAATTTGTAGAACTTATATTATTTTTTTGTAATAAATTAAATATTTCTTCTCTTTTTTCAGGTATTGTTTCATTAAAAAAATAAATATATTTTTTAAAATGAATAATAAAACAATCTTTTTTTATTTGGAAAATTTATTTTTTTTCCTTCTGTCTTGTCTAAAGCTTTTATACATGATTTACAATAAACTTTATAATTGCTTTTATTGATTTTTTCATTTGTTTTAATTATAAACTCTTCTATAATAACTGGTAAATACATAGTTAAAAATTTATATATCCATGGAATATTATTTTTTTGGACATGTCTATATAACAATTAGCCAATTGGTACAGACAGTAGACATTGTTTCAAATTGTCCACAGGACATTATTTTTTTATTAAACATGTCTACATGACAATTAACTAATTGAATAGATTTTTTGAACGCAGATTGTAAACATTGTTCGAAATTGTCTGTGTTCAAAAAAATCACAGAGACAGTATCCGTGTACAATACTGATAAAATAGGTAACTTACTGTTCTCATTATTTGATCTTCCATATTCTTTTTATTACTTATTTAATAAGAAATTTTAACAAAATCCTTATGCAAACTTTCATAAGTTTCTGTCGTGAAACCATTTATTGTGCCGAACTGATGAATTGATTCAAAAATATAGTAAATCCATAAATAAAATTTTGAGAATTTTAAATTGAAATGTGAATATGGTTTAAATATTCAACAAATAATTTTGCTCATTCGAAGATATCCTTTTGAAAAATAAAATTATTTAACATATAATTTGTAAAATTAAGATCTTAATTTTTTAACAATGCACTTGAAAATTTTCAAGATCACTTTTTGTAAATACTTCCAATCTGCTTATCATGTATATTTGATTCCATTTTATATATATTTCTAATAATTTTTTTTTTTCAACAAAATCTTCAACATTATTTTTATTTTCTTTATATAAGTTATCTACTACAAATATCATTACTTTCATTAAAATTTGATATTTCTTTATAATTATTTTAGAAATTGATTGAAATCTATTAGTGAATATTTTTGACTCTCAGAATTGTGAAATTTCTGAAAGTCTATAATCTATTTCATTAAATAATGAACTATCTTGTTTACAAAGAAATACTTGAGTGAATTCTATTTGATAATGAAATAGTCCCAAGTTCAAATGGTACATTCTGTTCGGAACTGTTGTAATATATATATTTATACTTGTACTGGTCGAAAATTGATAAAACATATACATATCGGATACCTGATATGTGCATGGTACGTCTCTAATATCGGGTGTATATTGGGTACCTGATAGGTATAGAAAATATTTTTTTACACTTATCGGGTACCCGATATATATATAAAATATTTTTTACACATATCGGATATCCGATATACGCCCGATATTAAGGACATACCATGCACATATCGGGTACCCGATATGTGTATGTTTTATCAATTTTTGATCAGTATTGGTAAAGACCAAAAATAATTAGGGATATTTTTCAAACTCACTTCCTATTCAATATTATTATAAAAGAATTCTTGTATATTTTTATTATTACAAAGAGTTACACAGTTATCAGGTAAATTGATATTTGTTAATAATGTCTTTGAAGTTAAACAAAAATGACAAGGAAAGTTTAAATTAGTTAATTTGTATACTAGACTAAATATAGTAGTTTCTGACTAATCACATATAATTGTTAATATATGAGGAAAGAACTAAATTGTTTGAGTACCAATTTTTAGATCAATACTATTTTTTATAAATAAAGAATCTAATAAAAATTTAATAGAATTATAGAAGGTTAGTCATATTAATTTTTTGAAGTCTTCAGATTGTCTTTCAAATTAATCTTTTGCTGTTAAAATAGGAAGGTATCCAAGCAATTGTTTAATATTAGATTTATTATGTTTACTAATTGAAATGTTTCCAATTGAAATGTAGATAGGATGCAAAGAGAATTTATTCAAGATATCAATAGTAGTAGTATCAGAATAAAATATTATAAATAAAAGTTTTGAACTAGATAGTAAAGAAGTTTTAATGTTTTTCTATCAATTTCCTATATATTATTTGTTGTAAGCTTTTTTGCCTTTATACTATATTACAAAATATTATTGTTAATATTATTTTTAATACTTGAACTAGTTTATATAGATTTATTTTATCTTAAAATTTTTGAAGTTTAATATAAAATTTTGTGATATGTCATAAATAGATAAAATATTTTTAATACAATTGAAAATGGGATAATAAAATAAATAATAATCTATATTATTATGAGTAAGAATCTTGTATTTTTCAGATATCAAAGTAAAAATTTTTATTTTTTTCATTAATTCATGTCCTTAGTTAATATTTTTCGGAAGAGGAGATAAAAGAAGATTGGAATTCTCATTAAAAAAATAAATCACAGCATTACCAGTTTTATTGGATAGATTATATATTATAATAAGAGCTATTAAGTTGCTATATACTTTATTAGAAAATTTAATAGGTCCCATTTCACAAATATCATTATTAAATGAGTAATTTTTGACATCTTCAGATAATTCCATGTTCTCAAAAAAAGGATCACGGGAATAGTTAGTATTGCTAGTTAAAGATATATCTTCAACCTCAACATTATATGAATTATCTTCACTTTCATATTCACTTTTATATTCGTCTTCATTTTCACTTTTACAAATACTTTCGAAATTATTCTATAACATTGAAATTAGTATAAGTTATATTTGAAATCATTTTATTTATTATTTATTTATCTTTTTATACCTCATTATTCAATCTTTCGCTTTCCAAACTATTCAAACTATCAATTATCATTATTTCCAAATTTAATTCTTCTAATGATTCTGTCACACTTTGAAGATATTATTTTATGTAGTTAATATATGAAATTTTAGTTGTAAAAGTACATTAACAGAAATCACAAATCCAAGTTATTTTAATTAATGAATTAATAATTACTTTGAATAGTTGTGACTATCATTATATTTATAAATAATTTTATCTTTGTTCTTTATATAAATTTTATCTTTGTTCTCTATATTAATTTTATCTTGTTTTCTATATTAATTTTTAATTTTATTCTTTATTA